TGGATTTCTGTAATCACTATTTAGTCTTATCAAATCAGATTTCGGTAAATATAATGATATTTCGATTTCACGGTATGCTCTTGATTAATATAATATGTACATTATCAGTATAATATCCCCAACAAAGTTTTGTTAAAATTACTGTAGCACATGAATACATGTGTAAAGGTTGGTGGGAAGCACAGGTCATCTGCATTGCAACTTGTGGATTTTGTTTCTGCGCTAGAAGGTGGTGATTTTTTCTCTAATCAAGGGCTTTACCTAAAGGCATCACCTTCAATTAGAGAAGGGATACATCCACTAAACTAGCAATTTGTAATTATTTTCCTCGAAAGTCGCCTTTCAAACCACCTTAATTCCGTTGAAATCGAGCCTTCAACACCTTCGATTTGGGATTTAGTGTTCACATTGATTTGGGGTTTTCAGATTTTGTTTTTACGGTTTGTTCAATATGATGGAGGTTTTGTTTATCAAATGGATTTTGTGAATTCACACTTTCATTTTAATTTAGAGATGTGTTTGGTGAGAAATGGGAGGAATGATATGGCGCTTCACTGCCATTTGTCAATTTCCTCATCCAAAATGGCAATAGTTTGTCACATAATTAAATTGGTGAATAATGGAATGCAGCAGTGTAAAGTTCAGGGAATAATGTGGTGAAAGTTTAAGTATAATAAGTGAAACGTGATGCTACCTAAAGTTCAGTGTGTGTTGAGACAGTTAACTCACTTTGTTGACATTTGGTTTAATGGCAATGTCCCATAACCTTTGTTCTAATTGCGGAATAACCATATCCTTTCGTTTTTGAAGGAATACTTTATGTGATATTTTATATGCAGAATACAATAATTTTTTCTATTTTCTCAATGAACCTTGTGGAAGAACAAATATAGCATTCTCTTTAAATATAACAAAAATAAGAAAAAAAAATAAAGAATTAATTGCAATTATAATTTCAAATTTTTCAATAAAGTTTAAACGAGTCAAACATGAAACATGTTCCAAACAAGATTAAATGATCCAAACCATCAACCCCACCCCAAGTGAAAGGACCTAAAATCCTAAACTGGAAAGTTCCACCACCGCCACCACATTCCAGTGTCGCTAGCGATTGAGCAGGTCCGGCACTGGCCTAGGGCAAACTAGGCCACTGCCTTGGGCCTCACATTTCAAGGGACCTCGTAAAAAGAAAAGAGGTCCAAAAAATGTTAAAACACTTGTCTGTAGAGTTGTGACGATTTAGGGGGATTTGCTTATGATTATAGATTATAGTTAATAGTATGTTTGCACTGAATTTAAGGTTTGGTCTTGGATTATAAGTTGATGTACCCCAGTGAAATTGGCATAGCAATCTTGATCAATAGCTTAGCCTAACAGTTTTAGTCGTCTTTTAAATATTTAAATATTGTTATACTTGTAAAAAAAATTATGTTGAAGGGGCTCAAATAATTAATCGCATACACCTCTGAATTCTCGGGGCCGGCTAAGGTTCCTTTTCTATACCAAAACCTCAAATCCATTTCACAACGCTCTTATTTATACAATTCCTTATATAGGTTACCTTCAATTTGCTATATGGATTCAGACCATATCACAATAAGCAAGTTTTATGCAATTTCTTACACGGGTTCAATGGAGTCTTATTGGGATAGAGAGTTGTTCATTTGGGTACAGCAAAAAAATGTGAGATTTTTATTTTTAGTTTTTGTTTTTCATTTGGGTGTAAAAAAATTGGGTTTGATTCAGTTTTCAAATATTTATTGTGAAATTTTTGGAATTTAAGACTTAATGTCAAATGGTTTGTTTTCATTTTTTGAATCCAGTAATTTGAAGGGTGCACACCCAATATTCAAACGACGAGCTTAGCAAGCTTGGCCAAACTTGAAAGGGATTTTTTTATTTTAAAAAATGTATGCAAGTCTATAAAACATTTATTTTCAGTTTACCTAACGTTAGAATTATTATTAAAATAAGTTACTTATTTTCAACTTTCAACTTCAATCAGTACTAATTAGCCCCAGTTTGGGCTCAATTAATTCCAAAATACTTTTCTCTTTTTTTTTTTTCAACTACACATTTTTCAATAAAATAATATTACACGTAAACCACCAACTTTTCTTCTTTTTTAATCACAAATTCTTCAAAAAACCACTATTACAAAATACATTTTTCCCAAAAATTATGATTATAATGGAGCTCAAACGGGAGTTAATCTGCATGGTCCTCTTGTAGTTCTTCATTAAATTTGCAACTTTTGACTGATTAGACATTTGACTTCTTGTTAAATTGGAAAACAAATGATACATTATTACTGTAGAAGTAATATTTTTTTACAGTTAAACCAAAAATTTTCCTATTACAGTTAAACCAGAAATGCACTACAATCACAACAGAGAGAAATACAAAGTCAAGAAAGAATACAGTTTACAATAATAACGTTCCAAAACAGCCCGTCGGCTTTGATCTAACAACATTACTTGATTTCTTGGACGGGACAGCTGCCCGAAGAATTCACAGAGATGCTGGCACTAACGGGGGTGCTACAGTCCACGGATTGTTTGCTGGTGTATGGCGATGCATCAATCACCCTAGAGTCGACATTGAAACAATTCTTTAGCTCAAATAAAAGTCAACAGACAAGCATTAAGAGAAATCAGTAACATACAGGGGATACGAAGTCTATCGTGTCTAACAAATTTATAATGAATCGTGATACCGTCTACCATCTCCTTGGATATGACCATTAGATGCAAGTTTGTTATGCAGTACTAGATAGGAGTCAACATTCTAAAGAACAAGATTATAGTTTTTTTCGTCCTCCCTACCAAGCATGCCACAAAACTTTAGTCCGATGAAGACACAACCAGAAAATCTTGAAACCAAAGGAGGAAAGCAAAGGACAATAGATAACATCGTCACATCTCCTAACCGCACGGATCAAGCAACTACAAAGATATTTGACCGTATAGACATTTCATTGCACGTTTCTCATAAAACGGTATACACATTCTAAAAGCAATAGAATATAAATAGGAAGAGTTGCGTAATTCTATGCACACATGATAAATATGTTTGATAAGTTGAATTGGATAGGACTTGATAATATTAAAAGAACAGAACAAAGTTAAAATTTTAGTAGTGCGTCCCCTCTAAGTCGATTATGCAAAACCTATAGTCATGGCGTTGTCCCGTGAATAAGTCAATACTTGCCTAAGTCGAGAAATTTCTCCACAGAAACAACCAAGATGCATTTTCATTTATCATTTATTTTAAATTGAATGCCACAAGTTCTACTAAAACTTTATACATGATATTGGAAACTTGTACTATATAAAGCAATAATTGGTTACCTTTCTTTGCGCTTCTCGAGAAACCGAACCAAAGACTTCCTCCGAGACTGAGGCACAGTGCCTGCAAAAACAATATACCTTGTTATGCTTCCATCATGCAATGTAAATTCACAATAACAAAAGCTAAAATCTAATGGAGCTTCATCCAAGATATTGAAGTAAATTAAATAGGTGCCAGACTATACCTGATGAAAGGAAGGTAGCAGGAACAGATTCGATCATATTGACTAGTTTCGAGGGCTCCAATTTATTTGGAGTTGCCCCAACTCCTGCTGGTTTTATAGCCGTCAGATCATTGTTGCTACCCAACGCTCCAGCAGACTGAGAAACATTAATAGAAGTTACCAACAAGGAGCTTGAACAGTACAATGTTGCGTCATAAGGCTTATTTACCACAAATTCATCAACAACAGGAGACTGGGTCACGCGTGCTGGAATTGGAGATGAAGCAGCAGGGGCTGTTGTTCGGGAAGCCATAGGGAACCCATTTCCAGCCAATAACATAATTGCCTGAGCCTGTAGCCGTGGATGAAAAATATTAAGGAAAACAAAACCAAACAAGTGCTAAACTGCCCTGGAATTTCAGAAGATCTTCAAGAATATACCTTTTCCGGGGAAATGTTGTCATAAACACACACGGAACCAGAATAGAAGATGGTCAACTGAGCAGGAGCCCCTGAAGTCTTCGAAGTACTCCTACAGAACATACCAGTTTGATTCAGCCTTGTATTTTAACTTTTCTTAGTAAGATTCTGCTCTCAATCATACTAGTATACAAGAGCAGCAAGACAAAATGTGACAAGCACGGACATGACCCTTGTTTGATACACATTATTTCCAAAATTCATTTTTCTCTCTTATTTTTAACCACAAATTTTCAATAAAATAATATTACACCCAAATCCAAAAAGTTTCATTATTTTTTACTTGCACATTCTCTATAAATCTACTCTTCAAAAATGCAATCTTCGGAAATAATGTCTATCAAACAAGCTCATAATTTACCAAAAATGGTAGGACATAAAAATGCCGGCTACTCATCAATAAAACACATGATCTGTCACACACCAACACTACGTCCTAGGAGGAAATTTTCTACTTCAGAATAATCAACCCTTTCTTACTAAGACATTTGAGCCATTTTTGTGTCTGATGCATGTCACGCCCCAATAAGGCAATATACTCCATCCTAGGAGGAACTTCCACTTCATAATAATAAACTTTTTCTTTGAAAGTTTCTACTTAGTGTCTTTTGAAATACCTCAAACCAGTGGTATCCACAACAGAACTATTAGAAGGAACAGCTGGGACGGGATTTGTTACTGGAACAGCCAGAGGTTGCAAGCTTGTTGAATGGGTCAAACTCTGTCCAGCAGATGAAATGAAGGACTGGTGAATGGGAGTGCTAGTAGCCAGAGAAACTGTCTGATTTGCTTGAATGGTAACTGGTGGTACTCCAACTTCTTGAAGACCATGTTTTTCATAGTTCTGTGCAGGATGGGTTGTCACTGTATAATGAAATCCCCCATGATTTCCAGGAAAAATGTTTTTCTGAATAACAAAAAGGAAAAACCAATAAGGTGCAATATGTACAGAAAATTATTCTGTCTAAATCGCATACTTATTTTATAAAGAAACAAAAAATCAAAACTAGAATTTTTCATAAATGTGGATATAAAAGATTTAATACATCCAAGTTGCTTAGGGCCTGTTTGGTACGGCTCAAAATCCAATTAAAATTGAAAATATAACCGTTATTGGGTCTCACTCATCTAATAAAAGTCAACAATAACGGCTAATTTTTCAATTTTAATCCGATTTTAATCTCTACCAAACACCCTCTTAATCTTTAGAATCAAAAGTTACAAAGTTGCCTACAATTTTTTTCCATTACTTAAAACTAAAGCTCCAAAAGGATAACATAACTCACCTGCATGACACCGGAGTATTGTTTCAGATCAGAGTTGAAAGCTTCTGTAGTCGTCTTTATGGTCACCAATCCAGACGATGCAAGGGAATCGAAACCAGTCTTAGGCTTTTCTATTTGAGCACCCTGGAAAGATAACAACTGAGGAACAGCAGAAACCTTGTTTGAAAATGACCACTGCATTGCTGAACTTCTCACTGGACCTATGGAATCAAGATAGAACACAATTACACAAACCTATACCAATTTAGTCAAATTTATCACTAGAATGTCCAGAAACAAATACCATATAATGAAACATGAAAGACTCTTTCATTTATTGTCTAATTACCTAATCAATTTGCAACTAAGAAGTAATATGGTAAAGTGTAGATTGGAAAACTGCGTTGAAAAAAAATTACAAGAGACCTTCTAAGTATATTTACGTATGAAAATTTTCTAAGACAGAGTGCGTTTGGCTATGCTTAAAACTAACTTAAAGTTACTTGTAAATAACTTTTTGTTTCAAGAACATGTTAGGTTACTTACTTGTTTACTCAAGATGCTTCATAGGTGCAGCTGTAAAAGGTGTGAACATATTGAACAACTTAATTAAAAAAATTGATAACTAGGCACTTATGTGCAGTATATTAAGTGCTTATTAGACTCATCAAATGCAGAACAAGTAAACAATATGGGAAATCATTTGGTCAAAGAAAATTTTAAAATGCCACCATTCCATTTAGAATTAATATATATACACACACACACACACAACTTATTCCTCTTTTTGGGTGGTACTGGTACCTAAATAAATTATTTTACATGTCGCTGACATCTTTGAAAGCACGACTCCTTTAACTTAAAAATATTGATTTAACTAATAAAATAGTGAAAAAGATGATGAGGTGCATAGTGGCAATGCACACTTTAAATAACACAAGAAACATGAAAGTGAATATAAAGTTCTAAGGACTATGAAAAATATTGAAAAATTTGGCACAGCATCTCATAAGAAATATTTTTTATCATCCAATTGAATCCTTGTCACATAACGTGAAAAATACACCTCATGCACCAATCCACTCAATGAATAGAAAATTAACATAAATTTAAAGAGATGAAGAAAAAAATACAATGTACCTCTTGTTGTTCAACAGCTAAGTGCAAATAAAAGTAAAATAAATAGCAAAATTACAAACTGGAGTGGAAAGGCTTTTTTTAAGATTCCAAGAAATGAAATCAAAGTAATCTTGAAATCACATGTTTTGTTGTGGTTCTTTGTGTTGAAGAGAAGAGCTTTCAGACTCATTTATTAAATTTAAATATAAAATAATAGTCAGTGAAGGGCGGATAGAAGACAAGATAATTTTGCCTGTGGACGAGATTGGTTAATAAGAATCTAAGCTTCGAAATTTATGAAAGTCTATATTGAGGCTTTGTTTGTTAAAGCTACTTCATTTTTGTAAACCCATAAATTTTTTTCCCGTTTCAAGATTATTTATCTAAAATGAAATTACATATATGCACAAAGTATGTAACTAAACTAAAGCTTTCTAGAATTTTAGCAAAGCAATATATTTTTAAATATGATAAATTCAAGGGGGAAAAAAAATATGATTTGGAGTACCTGAGTCCATGGTTTCATCAGGAGTCTCCTGTTTTACATTCAATCCCATGAAATCTCTCTCCATTTTCAACTCAATTCTCCACCTCTGAAACAACTTGAAAATCTCCTTTTTCCAGATGGAAATTAAGGAGGAAAAAAGGTATCTGATTTATGGTTTGGAGGGATCTAGAAAATAGCTATTTTGAGGGTTTTGGCCATGGCAGTGGAGAGAGAAAACGGAGATTTGAATAGAGGGAAAGAGGAGGGGTTGTATTATGTATGTATATGTAAGTATGTTGCCGAGCAGTGACACGACAAATTCTCAAAATTCGTACTTTTCTCGTGGGCAAATCATTCACCGGCTACGGCAGGTTTTCGATTCTATTCCACCCAAATATTTACAAGGGAGATCTTCTTCTGAAAATATTACAGATAAGGTCTCCAATCTTTTCACAGTGTATAATTCAGACATCCTTTAACTTCTAATTTTATTACATTTTAGACCCTTAATCAATGGAAATTACTTATATGATCCCAAATTGCCACCTCGTCTGGAGCAATTAATAGGGAAATGAGAAGCTACGAGAGGAATGGAAGAATGCTTACTAAGCTCCTATTTGTTTGTCATTTATTTCTCATTTCTAGAATAGATCTTATCGGTGCAGCCGGAGGAGCAACATTTTTTGACCAAAATGTTTTGTGGTGGGTCCCAGTCGGTTGAAAATAACTGTCAAAATTTTCATTTTTTGCCAAAAATAATGGCAAACAAACAAGGGCTAAGCTTTTAAATAAGTTGGTCAAATTTTATTTTTAGTTATACATTTTGTAGAATTCACAATTTTTACTTAAATGTTTAATCAAGGAAGCATAAGTGCTGTGTTTTTTTCTTGTATAATTTCCAAAATTGTTGTCTCATATGGACCAATTTGGATAATATTTTGTAAGTTCTTTTATCTAATTAGAAAAGATTTTTGAGTATGATAATTTAAGGTTACTTCTCCAAAAAATCTTTTGTAGAAACAGTCTTAATAAATGGGCCATCAATAGGGAAGGTGGAAGCAATTGAAAGTGGAACGGAAACCGCAAACGAAGTGTTGCCATTTGATAAGTTGGATTGTACACTATTTGTCGATATTAAAGAATAAAAATAAAGTACTTTATTGACTGTAATTTTGAATTATGTTCAATATTGTGCTAAATATAGTCATTGTTTTATGGCTCGTTTGATAGAATTTCTACTTTTGTCTCTACTTGTACAAGAGTCTTTCCTTTAAATTCCCGTTTGGCACCCATTTTTTTCTCATTCTCATTTTCATTTTTTTTCTCTTTCTTCATTTCAACCACACATTCTATCAATAAAATAATATTACACATAAACCTAAAAATTCTCCTTACTTTTTAACCACACGTTCTTCCATCAATCACTATTCAAAAACACATTCTTTCACAAAAATGGGTGTCAAACAGCCCCTTAATAAGATAAAATACTTTCAAAAAATTATTCAAGAGCATTCAACGATAGCTTCATAGTTTCGAAAATAACTTTTTAACTTTTCAAAAATTATGTCAAACAAACCCTTAGCTATCTTAGAAACCAAGTTGAATTGCTATTTCGTTTTACCAGGTGGTGACAAAAAAAAAGATTTGACATTAAACAAAACGAAAAAGGACCATAACAGAGATATAGGAATTGTTGGTGGTCGGCTGGAGGATTTTACTCATCAAGCCTGCATTCCTAATGGAAACGAGATACTTGCTCGTCCGGTGCATTTGTCGTGATCTACCACGTGCGCCAACATGCTTCGAAATATGTGGCTTTATCCTGGCACGTGGGAAAGCTCTAATCATCCGCTCCAAGTTCGCAAACAAATTTGTTGATGAATAAAATATTTTCCCATAATCAGTTATCAAGATGCTGGATCACGATGGAAATGAGTAAATAATTCGGACACGTGTACGGATTCGATTGGACTCTAGTTTGTGAAGAGTTCGAGTATCAGCTTACTAATTACTACTGAATCCAAAAAAAAAAAGTAGATTGATTAGTTTAAGCAAAGGCGTGTGATTCGTCGAGATAGGTCGGCTGTGAGAACCAATCAAACTACTCTTCAATGATTGTCTATTAAGAGTCATTATATATAGATGGGCATGAAGTATTTATCTTATGCTCAAATGAGACTTTACTTTTTTAAAAACTACAAAATGTGGATTTGCTTCGAAATTTCTAAAAAATAAAACTACGAATAAAATCCGTAATGTAATTACAACTTTTATTAACAAGTTCGATTATGAATATTGTTACTCATATAAATAATCGTGTCTAATTGAATTACGTGACAGACGGTAAGAGCCCCACATCTTACTTTACAACACAATCAACCATGTTATACGTACGGAGACTATCCCTTCCCTTCAGAAAGAAACCAGACCGACCCCATTTGGGCAAACACCCCATATAGGAGCTGGCCATAATGAGGTGGTGACGAGATCCTTGGTAAATTTTATGGTGAAATAATTGACAAGACAATTCACTGTCAACGTCGCATCTGCACACTTATGCGGTCAATTCCCACTTGCACAAACTAGGACTTTATAGATGCGAAAAGGGTCCTGGAATTTAATGTCTTGATTGATTTATTGATGCANCAGGCCAAAAAGGCCCTAAACGCTACGAGAAGCCCCCCCCCCCCTCCCCCCTCCCCATCCTTCCCCAAATTCCTTTAGTCGGCTCGACCGTTTGGTTGATGACTTGTCCAAGTGTATTGGAATTTAGCTTACATGGACGTGAGGAGTTTTGAGATCTGTTGACCATATAATTGATATAATTTTTGGGATCAACAAATATAATTATATTTATTTAAAAAGCAAATTATAACGTAAAAATTATACAAAAGTAGGGGACAATACCGATGATGATAAAATATTCCGTCAACACGTTGTGGGTAATATTTAAATTAAGCAATGAATTAAAAAAATTAATTAAATTTGCTAAAGTAAATTTAGACATGTTCCTGCCACCTCGATGTGTTAGAAATATGGATCAACGCTTATAATAATAAACGTGTCAAGTGTAAAGTTTTCGTTTCACCATATTTAATTATATCAAATTCATCTCGTTTGATTTGAATATTTTTTTTCTAAACTTTTTAATTGCTCTAATGTTAAATAAATTAAATCGATAAACTTTCACTTTTAATCGAGTCTCTTTCTCAATAATATATTAAAAGTGAGAATTGTGGTCTAAGCTGTTATCATATTGTATGTATTGTCCGTTTTGGGAGAGTTTATGTTCATTTTACCCCTCACGGCTTTCTGACGTGTCCACCCAGGATTCGAACTCAAAACATCCATCATATGAGAGATTTAAGTTGAATCGAACAAGTCGTGAGAGGTAAGATGGACATAAGCTCTCTCAAAGCGGACAGTACGTACAATGTAATAACGACTCCGGGGCGATGTCAAGTCTACATATTTAACTATATGCCCACTATACCGTCATAATTCGAATGCCAATTTAATTAGTATTTATCATTTGATTTAGAATTAAAATAATAGAAGGAGTGAAACTAACATTCAATTATATCATTTTTTTTCTTTACAATTTTTATTTTTCATCAACAAAGCACTTATTAAAAATTTAATTAATATTTATCATTTGATTTAGTATTAATATAAGTGGTGAAATATTTAATTGATATTTATCAGTTGGGTTGGAATTAGTGTTAATTACATCAATAGTCACTGAATTTTACCAAAAGTTTCCATCAAGTCATTGAACTTTAAAAAATACATGGTTAGTCACTGAACTTTCGAAACTGCAACCTCATCCATCACTGAATTTAAAAAATTATAATGAACTTATAAAAATAAGCAAATACGCGGTAAGTTGTGCATCCTAATGAGTGGCTTTTCTAGACCTTAATTTCAATGTTCAAATGATGTAAATGTAGACAAGTAAATTGTAGAGAACAGAGAGAATAACTAAAAACTCGAAGCTTCGTGTGTATGCGACATTTATATATCCGTAACAATCGAATTACGGTTGAGCAACTAATATATATGATTTGCAAAAACAAAATAATTGTCTAGTTTATTTTTTTAATTAGTGGTTCATTATATTATAATACATAAGCAAACATGTTTTTTTGTTTGATTACCATAGTCAAGAATAGGGATATCAAATCGGTTCCTCAGCTCGGGCGGCCCATGACCCGACTCGGACCCGTGAAAGGAATACTATTCAAGGTCAAAATGCATAATTAGGGTAAATCACAAGGGAGCAACAACGCGAGATTTGCGATATAAACGAAGAAAAGGGAGAAACAACACGGGATGGTAAAAATGGGCGAAATGGAATCGAGTTTGTACATTATCTATCTACAATCTATTAAAAGTGAGAATTGTGGAAAAACTTTTAAATACCAAATTCACCCTTTGCATATTTAACTATATGCCCAATATACCCTCATAATTGGATTACCAGTTTAATTAATATTTATCATTTATTATCATTTGGTTTGGAATTAATATAAGGAGTGAAACTCACACTCAATTACTAAATAAATAAAAATAAACAGAACTTAACTATTTTGTTCTTACAATTTTTATTTTCACCAACAAAGCCCTTATTAATATTCATAATTTACATTATAATTCGTGCATTAAGTCATTATTTAATTGAGGTTACAAAATTGATAGGTTGCATTACTATATTAATGAAGTCACGAATATGTTAAAGAGTAAATAACTCATAATTATTACCCTTACATGCGAATGAGTGGGAAACATTCAATTGATTATTTTGTTCTTAAATTTTATATTTTTAGTCAACAAATTCCCTATTAATTTTCATAAGTTGCATTATTATTTAATTGATATTTATCATTTGGTTTGAAATTAATACAAGAAGTGAAACCGACATTCAATTATTAAAAAAAATTAAACGGAAATTCAGTGACTTAATATTCAATTGACTATTTCGTTCTTAATTTTCTTATGGGAAGTCTCTTGTGTGGCAAAAAGAATTAAAACATGTGAGTCCAACTTGACATTAAAGGCACAATATAGGTTATTTTGATTAACAAA